TGCAACAACTGTTGGAGCGCTGAATGCTGCATGCACGCGCAGCATTGTCAAGGTAACTTTTTGTCAGTCTTTCCCTTTGCCAAGGGAGTTCCAAACACTTTTACGAGACAGAAATGCCCTGCACCCTTTAAAGAACACATTTCAAGGGCTCTGCCCTTCGAAAGGAGTAGGGCATAGGAAGTGAAAAATACATCGCAGAGCAAAGAGGAAACTGACAACGTGCTGACAGACAAGACTTACCGAGATTTACCTCTTATCGTGACATAGGCAAAACAATTTTTTGGGCACCCCTTCCTTATTAATAGGTCTATATAATATTACCACCTCAGCAAACAAAAATATTTAGTGATCAGTGGAAACCGATCGCAATAAGTGTTTGCGTTCAGTCAATAAAAATCGAATGACCATTCCATTAATAGGCTCCAGTGTCGTGGCCACATTACCACTTCAGGAGTGCATTATTTCTCTAATAATTTGAACAGCCTGGAGTCACATCCACACCTCAAGACATTGTTCAGATGAATTATTTTAAGACATTTGTCATGTTTCTGCTTTGATTCTGCAAATTTCAAAATGTCGTTTTAGAGCTAATAACTGAGGCTTGGGCCAATGATATGCAGGCTAATGCAGTTATTAATGCAGTCTAACGTAGTTATTAGAGAGAGAGAGAGAGAGCGATTAAGCGAGTGAATACCTGTGTCTGTGCGTCTCTCAGCAGTGTTCAGCAGCAGCATCTCTAATAGCGAATCTTTAAGTTGAACTGCTTCACGAACCTTGCTACTGAGAAATGTCATGTAGCTTTTCAGCTGCGGAACTATTTTACTGATAAATAAAATGACAACAAGGTTCTATCCACTTCTCCGTGTGTGCGCGAGTGCGTCTCTGTACTGTGTGTGTGTCTGTGAGAGAGAACAAGAGAAAGAAACGTATTCGGTTACTAACGTAACCTCGGTTCCCTGAGATACGGGAACGAGTACTGCGTCTGCTAAGACACTTTGGGAAAAAAAGCCTTTTTTCTCCTGAACTGAAGTCTTTTTTCAATCACGCAGTGAAACTGCACAGCCATTGGTTCGTGCAGTGTACAAAAAACGAACCTATGGTGACAAAGCCCGCCAGAATGGGGGGGGCATCTGGCTATATAAGCTGGCTATATAAGCGGGATTCTCAGGTTACTTCGACTGAATCGACAAGTAAGTCGTGCGACTACATAGCACGGCTAGCAATGCAGTACTCGTTCCCGTATCTCAGGGAACCGAGGTTACGTTAGTAACCGAGTACGTTCCCTTTCGATACTACACTCGTACTACGTCTGCTAAGACGCTATGGGAACACAGTACAATCATGCCGTGCTAATGTAGTGGAATGAATAAAAGTATAGTAGAATAAAAGCTTGGGACGATTTCTGTGGAAGCGCTCGGCGAATCCTTCGACAGCTGGTCCGAAGAGACCCTTGGGAGAGACTGGAGCATCGAGGAAGGGAATTTTATCCACGTCCTTGATCTCTGTTAACGTCAGCCATAAATGGCGCTCGAGCACCACAAAGCTGGCCATCGATCTCCCGATAGCCTGAGCAGTGGTCTTGGTGGCGCGCAGAGCCAGGTCGGTTGCGCTCCTCAGCTCCCTGAGGGTCGCAGGGTCCAGGCAAGACTTGTCAGAGGAAGCGAGGATCTTGGCTTGAAAGAACTGGAGGACCACCATTGAATGGAGTGCCGAAGCCGTCTGTCCAGCTGAAGTGTAGGCGCGTCCAGCAAGAGCTGAAGTGGTCCTACACGGCTTGGACGGGTGAGCAGCCTTTGCTCTCCAACCGATAGCCGTGGGCTGGCAGAGGTGCGCCGCCACCAACTCATCCAGGGGAGGCAGTTTATCGTACCCCTTCTCTTCAGCGCCGTCGATGCAAGTGAGGGCGGATGAAGTAGAAGTATGAAGGCGGGCGGAGTAGGGAGAGCGCCACGCTCTGGTGAGCTCGTCATGGACCTCCGGGAAGAACGGAGAGGAACGCTGACGAGGGGCCTGGCGGCGCCCTGGCAGGAACCACTCATCCAGACGGCTGCGAGAGGGCTCCTCTGGCGGAGACCACTCTAAACCCAGCTCTTTGACTGCTTTCGAGAGGATACGGATCTCCTACAGCTCCTCTGCGTCCGAGGCTGTTAATGACATGCTGTCATCAAGCAGCTCGTCCTCACTTCCCCCAAATGAGATCAGGTCGCTCGCACCAGCAGAGGGAAGCTGATCAGACTGGGAGAAAAGGACGGGAGAACTCTCTCTCTGGGGCGAGGGCGAGGCATGTGGGATCTGGGCCGACGTGAGCTCACTCGCAGCCGGTCGCTCGAGTCCTCTGCCCCACTGTTTTTTCCTCACAGGTCCCTGGGAGGAAGAAAACGGGAGGGCGCGGGGCGCGGAGTCGCTCTCTGAAAAGAAAGCGATCCGTGAGCGGAGAGAGGCGAGACTAAAACTCTCGCAATGAGAGCAAATAGACTGAAGTTCTCGCAGTGAGAACAATCAGTTCCCGTGAGCGCAGCTTCCGCATGGAATTTCCCCAAGCAGGAAACGCACTCCGTGTGGCCGTCATGGGCGTGCAGGGGAGACCCATATGAACCGCAGTAACGGCGCGGCATTTGCAACAACGTCAAGCTCTTTTAGTAAGCTCTTTTAGTATCGCCGGATGGCGGCAGGGGAAAAGGACCGGAACTGCTGCGTCGCTGAAGCAGCGGAGAAGCAGGTGCAGGCTTCGGATCAGCGTAGAGACGTAGTAGTCGTCGCTGAAGGAGAAGAAATCTGAGAATCCTGTGGCGAACGCCCACTTATATAGCCAGATGCTATGGCGGGCTTTAAAGGCTTCAGTTCAGGAGAAAAAAGGCTTTTTCCCATGGCATCTTAGCAGACGCAGTACGAGTGTAGTATCGAAAGGGAAGCGTGATTTCCGTACATAAAAATGGTGGAAAATATGGAAATAGTGTGTCTTTTTTTACCCTATTGTTTGTTATATTTATTTGCTCAGTGTCTTCTGGTGTTTTGGTTCTTATACTCTTGTAGATAGCCCATAGTATAACAAAAAATATTATACGTCTTCATTGTGTTTGGGCCCCCTGGATGAGCTAGAATAGGCTCATGCCTAGAATGCCTATGCGTAAACCCGGCTCTGCAGAGCAGGTTACTTCTGGTATGAAATAAGGTCTCAGGACTCTCAGCTTTCAAATTTTGTTTTTTTTTAAAGAAATTCAAACAATAAATACCGTTTTGTGGCTCTTTAATGTGTCGTGACAGACCACTGTATTGCCTCGCGATGCTTTGTTTTAATTAAACAGTCGGATTCCACTGGTCCTGCAGAGCAGGTTACTTCTGGTATGAAATAAGGTCTCAGGACTCTCAGCTTTCAAATTTTGTTTTTTTTTAAAGAAATTCAAACAATAAATACCGTTTTGTGGCTCTTTAATGTGTCGTGACAGACCACTGTATTGCCTCAAACACGTGAACCGATCGTCTTTTCATATTTATGTAAAGCACGAAATGAACATGAATAAACATCAGAAAGTATTTTATTTCAACTGTGGAACACACCATTTTTCAAGTTTAAGTCTACCGAAGTTAATCTACTCTCCAGTCTGATTTGTGGTTAAGGCTAGAAGGGATACACCTGCGGCTACTGGGCATTAGCATTTACATATTTTTTGAGCCAACAATAGTGACAGTGAAAGTGACTTGACATGTGGCCAAGTATGGTGACCCATACTTGGAATTAGTGCTCTGCATTTAACCCATCCAAAGTGCACACACACAGCAGTGAACACACACACACCGTGAACACACACCCGGAGCAGTGGGCAGCCATTTTTGCTGCGGCACCCGGGGAGCAGTTGGGGGTTCGGTGCCTTGCTCAAGGGCACCTCAGTCGTGGCATTGAAGGTGGGAGATAGCGCTGTACATTCACTCCCCCCACCTACAATCCCCTCCGGTTACGAGTCCGACTCTCTAACCATTAGGCCACGACTTCCCCACAATATAACGTGAAACCTATGAAAATGGTTTAAAAAAGCACATGGCGCCATAGTTTCATCACTTTAGAGTGTCACAGTGACCGTCTTTTTGCAGTAAAGCACCTGTCATAGTTTAATGAGAGGGAAGATGACATGAAGCGATCCGAGGTTAGCTGCATTGAAAACAGATGAGCGCACATGTGAATATAGAGCTCCCGATCGAGGCGAAGTTCACGGAATTTTGTCCACAGAATGATAAGAGCACACATTTTAACATATTATTTTATTATTTCACACTCAGTATTTTAACTTAAGTGCTGCAAGCCATGCATACAATGCCAGACAATGACAGATTTCTGGTATGCAAAACAAGTACTTTAAAGGAATTCCTTAGCTTATTGCCATTACTGTGGTAGCCAACAACATCACAGCTTAACCCTCCGCACACTTTTATATTTAGTTATTGAAAAAGTTTCAATTCAATCAATCTTTTTTACCCCGTTTTAACATGGATTTCTATGGAGACTGGCCGTAGATGTCGGGCAAGATTGCGGATAGCTGCGGCACCACATAATATCCGTGTTCTGATTAGTCAGATCGCCTGTCAATCAAGCTCCCTGCGAACGGTCAATTAGCAGTTTATGCTGTGGGTAATTTCTGCAGGAGTTCTTTACCCAGTCTAAATAAACAAAAGACACGAGACATAATGAATCTCCAGCCGTCAGATAAAAGCCATTAATTGACAGTCTTCCAAAGGTCAAATAAACAATCTCTGATTATTACCTCAAGAAAACTAAGTCTTAAAATGGTATATGGTGTAAACTGTATTACCACCTCTGTAATTCTCAAGGGGGGCTTTGACAAAAAAAGACATTTATTTGTTTATGCACCAGTATTTAATCATCTTATTGCTCAACCAGTAACATGGACCATAATTAATCTGACCACACACACAACTGATATTTTATCATGTTGCCTCTGAATGTGTTGATGATAAGTCTTTAACTGTTTTCAAATAATTATAAGGGAGAGCAGGGGGAACCAGGAGCACCAGGCCCGAAAGGTTCAAAGGTTAGTCTTTATTCTTTTGTAACCCACATGCATTTGAAAGTTAAAACAATTAATATGTAAAGCTAAAGTATTAAAACAAATAAAATGTGTTACATATTAATATAACAAACAGCCAATATTATACTTTCTCAAAATACTTAAATATAATATTGGTCCATTACAGGGGGATTCAGGAGACAAAGGTGATGTAGGCCCAACAGGATCACAAGTGAGTAAAGTCTAAAATTATTTTTAGACAACTCTGACTACCAAATGTAACACTGGTCTGTACATTAGCTTTATTCTTACATCATTTCATTGCTGTGGTGTATGAAACATTTTTTTTTTGCTGATGTAATTGGGTTAAGGTTGCACTTCAGGATTTATTGATTGTTCACAAATCCAGGGCATAATGTTGTGAAACAGCTGGTAAATAAGCAGACAGTAACAAGATACACTGACACTACACTGACGATTTTGTTCAAAGCTTTGATCAAACAATAGGCAAAACAGTTTAAATTGGTTGGCAAATCAGTTTGAATTATTTGTTCAGTTCCCTGCATGCACTGAATTGTTTGAAGCAGTTTCTCACTCGGAGTCGTAACAGGAAATTTAAGAACATGGAGAACATAAATAGCATCGGATGAACCTACAGTCAATTGAAAGCAAATCTACAAATGCATCTTATTGTTTGGCAGCGAAATATACATATATTTGTACTTTTACTTGAGTAAAGTTTTTGGATGCTCTTCCCACCTCTGTAAATAAGCTTCAAAATAAGAAATATTGTCCCAAGACAGTTTATTGTCCCAAGTCCCTAGTGTTTTTAGAATAAACAATGCTGGAATTTATATTTACCCACTTAATGAATATATTGTTTTTGTTCAGGGGCCACCTGGGGAGAAAGGTGACCAGGGTACAACTGAAATCATAGACTACAATGGAAACATCCAAGAGGCTCTTCAGGTTAGTGGAATCATGTCATATTTATTATCTTTCATTGGAAATCATATTTCTAACCTGTTATGAGCTGCACAAGTTAAGACAGCTTTCATATCACAAGCCAAAGTGCTCAATTCCTAATATCTGGTCAAGTAATTGAGAAGAATTATGACTGAAAGTAAGGATTGACATAAAATTGCATGAACTTCAGTCTGACTGTTCACACTGAATTAACTTTTAAATAATTCAAATACACACCCAACAATGCATAATGGATAACGTTCTACAGTAGTGTTTTATGTGGGGCTTGAAAAGTAATGGGCACAGACAGAAAGCATAACACGCAGGTTGGTCTGATGCATAACTGTAATCTTATCTTTTACCTTCCCTCCTTCCTGACCGACTACAGAAGATAACTACTATTACAGTTACGGTAATTCACCTCTGTTTTGTCTGTGTGTTATATATGTGCTGTATCTTGATCAGCATGAATTCAATACTTCCATAAACGTGTCTCCCATAATTCTGCTAATTCTCTTACAGGTGCCTTATTGATGAAATATTTGTTTTATCTGGCTTGAGATAAAGACTTAATTTAATAACAAGGATCAAAGTGTGCGAATGTTGTTCAGTCTGTCTAGGCTCTTTCTCAGCTCTATATTCAGAGTGCTCAGATTAGACCTGTCCAATTTAACCTATGTTTGTTATCACAGAAGTAAGAAATGACACGTCACAAGTGTCATGTTTTGTATATAACAAAAAATGTGTGAGAAATGTGTCACTTGTGTGCTGCAAGTTTAATTTATCATTCATTTTGTGCATCTTTACAAAACAAACAAATAAATATTTGGTGCATTTATCTTCACATTATAATTTTTCTTATGTTCTTCTTTTATTTATTTTTATGACTTAGGGTCCCCCTGGGCCTCCTGGACCAATTGGACCAAAGGGGATGAAGGTAACAACTTAATATATTAACAATGTGGCCATTATGGGGAATTAAATGAGGGTCTTATGTGAGAGTCTAGCATTTTATGTGTTTGCGTCTGCAAACTTTGTGAAGTCAAAGATCCTAATGTGATTGCAGTTCATTTCAACCTATAAATAAGTATTTTTGCTTTTCACAGGGTGATCAGGGTGTTCCTGGACTTCCTGGCCTGGATGGTGAAAGGGTAAGAGGACTAAAATGTTCTAATTGTCTAGCTTCTATTGTCTGTTGTGTGACCCATATCTAACCACACTTTAAGTTGTTATTTAATCCTATGTCACAATTAGTATAATCCACATGTTCTCAGGGTCACAAAGGTTCAAAAGGGGACATGGGAATCCCTGGAATATCAGGAGAGAAGGGATCAATGGGTCTTCCTGGATTACAGGTAAAATTATCTCAAAATGTAATTCGTTGATGCTTGTGGTATTTCACATAATGTGCAATGCTTGATACTGTTTAAGTCATGTCTTGATAATGTGTCCACAGGGTGTGAATGGTCTGAAAGGAGACAAAGGAGACACTGGTTTGCCTGGCCCTCAGGGACCCTCGGTAAGTAAAGCCAACAAAATGTGAATTAAGAATGTGTGTGTGCACTTACAGTCAGCAACAGCTGTAGCAAACTGGGAGTAATCTTTGTTAGAGTGGCAGTTTGCATGATGTCAGTACTGTTACGTACCCCCTTTAAAGTCTAGGGGTAGGAAAAGGAGTGTAACAATAATAATGGGGAGAGAATGAAAGAACTACCATCTCCAGGTCCCAGGCCAGACACAAAACGCTCAGTGACACCAGATTTAAAATAAAACAAGATATTTAATTAAACTGTGGGATGTAAATAAACAAAAGCTTCAGGAGGGGAAAGGCCGAAACAACAAGCAAAAGAGCATTCTTACTACAGCGTGTTTAAGGAATATATATATATATATATATATATATATATTTAAAAAAGTTTTGTGTAAGAGGATGCATGTTATTTTGCTATGTCGCATGCACTGCTCATTCAATTTGAATGAGAGTAGAATACAGTAAAATCATAAAATGTAAAAAAATGTGTTCTCCTATTAATATTTTGTTAAATAAGAAATTACTCAATTTGAGTGTATAGATCATTTGGTAATAAAAACAATATTTTTATTTAATAAAAAAAGAAGAGTTTGTCCATGTCCCTTGAATGGTTGTCCACCCTGTTGTATTGGGGAATCCATCCCTTTAAGAAAAGGCAATCCACTTTAGTGACATCAGGACAACAGATTTTTGTCTCTTCAGTGGCGGGAATTTTTATGGTCCACCCTGTCATCTTGATATTTTACAATAATATTTTAAATAATAATTCAATCATATCTATATAATCCAATGTGTTCAATAGGGGGCTATAACAGGTAATATATATACAGGTGCATCTAAAAAAATTGGAATATCGTGAAAAACTTATTTTTTGTAACTTATTTCAAAGAGTTAAACATTTAAATATTTTAGATTCATTACATGTAAAGTAAAACACTTCCAATGTTTTGTTTTTTTTTTTGATTATTAGAGCTTGCAGCTCATGAAAGTCAAAAATCCAGTATCTCAAAATATTAGAATATTTCCTAAGATCAATCAAAAAAAGGATTTGCAAAACAGTAAAGTATGTTTATTTATGCTCTCAATACTTGGCTCCTTTAGCACAAATTACAGCATCAGTGAGGTGTAGCATGGAAGTGATCAGCCTGTGGCACTGCTGAGGCACTATTGAGTCTTCAGCTGATATATATTGTTGGATCGACTGTTTCTCATCCTTCTCTTGAAAATATCCCATAGATTCCAAATGGGGTTTAGGTCAGGCATGTTGGCTGGCCAATCAAGCACAGTAATAGCATGGTCAGCAAGCCACTTGGAAGTGGTTTTGGCACTGTAGGCAGTTGCTAAATTCCTACTGGAAAAGGAAATCAGCATCTCCATAAAGCTTGTCAGCAGATGGAAGCATAAAGTGCTCCAAAATCTCCTGGTAGACCTGTGCCTCTCCAGTCTTCCTCCAGACTCCAGACCTTGATTTCCAAATGAAATGCAAAATTTACTTTTATCTGAAAAGAGGACTTTGGACCACTGAGCAACAGTCCAGTTCTTTTTCTCCTTAGCGCAGGTAAGATGTTTTTGACGTTGTTTTTGTTTCAGAATTGGTTTGGTAGCCCTTTTCCTGAAGACGTCTGAGCATGATGGCTCTTGGTGCACTGACTCCAGCTTCAGTCAACTCCTTGTGAAGCTCTCCCAAGTGTTTGAATCGGCTTTGCTTGACAGTATTCTCAAGCTTGCGGTCATCCCTGTTGCTTGTGCACCTTTTCCTACTCAATTTCTTCCTTCCAGTCAACTTTGAATTTAATATGCTTTGATACAGCACTCTGTGAACAGCCACCCCTTTCAGTAATGACCTTCTGTGACTTACCCTCTTTGTGGAGGGTGTCAATGATTGTCTTCTGGACCATTGCCAAGTCAGCAGTCTTCCCCATTATTGTGGTTTCAAAGAACAAGAAATATACGTAATTTATACTGTAGGGATGGTCATTTAATGAAACTCAAATGTAAATATTCTAATATTTTGAGATACTGGATTTTTGACTTTCGTGAGCTGTAAGCTCTAATCGTCAAAATTAAAACAAAAAAACAAACTTTTGAAATGTTTTACTTTACATGTAATGAATCTAGAATATATGAAAGTTTCACTTTCTGAAATATGTTTATAAAAAATGTTTATTAAAAAAAAACTTTCAGGATATTCTAATTTTTTGAGATGCACCTGCATTCGTATTGCTTGTAGATGTTACTACACTTTGTAAGAAAAAGTGAAGACGTCGAAGATCTTGATGAAGAATAAATTTTATTACAGAATAGTAGTGACAAAGTACAGGCAGCACTTCGGA